CTCCGGTTAGTGCGCCCGCCACTTATTAAGCCCAATTTGGTCTGGGCCCGAGAAGGGCTTAATAACCGGCGACTACTGTAGTGAGATCCAAAGGAAAGGCGAGGATCGACTGAACTTGTAGTATTCGTAGACACACGTGAAAGACTGACAGAAATTGTTATGCAAGATTCGAAGGTAAATCGCTCCTCAAAGGAGCGGAAACCATTCTTAGCTAATCTAAAAATTCAGATACGTTATTTGCCATCGAGCTGTTCCTGTTCGTGGGGTTCGAGGTAATTCTACATATGAGCAAGATCGCCATTAAAGTAGTGAATATGTCCCTATTGCTGTTCAATGCTGGTGTAGCCTAGAATACCTCCTAGGCAGCATTAAGACAGAAGATTGAGGTACAAGTACGGAACAGATTGATATCACAGTGAAACTATTCTGTTGTTTCTACCTTAAAAAGTCAACGTAATTATTTAGTATGCCTGTGTGTGTACTGCCTAGGGTGACAGTAGGAAATTAACTTCCTAAGAAAGGCTACTGAATACAGAAACATGAAAAATTAATTGAAACAGACTGTTCGTTCCAGGCTCATAACTATTGCCATCCTTAAGCTTGTTTTCACGGATATTTAGGGATTCTTCAAAAAGAATGTTTCAAACAGTTCGATTAAGTCCTTTTTCACTCATAGCAGCAATTCGATAGAGCGAATTCAAGGTTATTCGGGGATTCTCAGGAAATGTTTCAAACCGTTCGATGAAGTTTTTTTTTGCACTTAAAGCAACAATTCAATGGGGTGGAAACGACTAACACAGACTGTTTTGGGACCCCCGTTTCCTACATGAGGAGACGCGTGCAGAGGAGGAACATTCAAATAAAGCAAATGCGGCAACGTACCAGTGGAATCTTGTCCATCTCCACAAGGTGGGACAGAACTAGACCGGTTAGAGGACTCCTCGAGGTCTGTTTCAAAAGACCTCGATGGATACTCATCCATCTTCAGGCCACCAACAAGATTAGGCGCGAGGCGTCCACCACCACCACCACCACCAGCAGCGGTGTTGGCAGCATTGCCTGGATTGGCGCCGCCGAGGGTCGCCAGACTTAAATGGTCCATCAAATCGCCAGAGCAGGGATGCTGCTGCTGTGAAAGACCCATATCATGGGCAGAGATTGTCGTCTCGGAGGAGTTGGCTGCGTTCACAATGGCCTGTGCCGCCGCAATCGTC